TTTTTAATAAATGATCGAAAAATTCCTAAATCAATGTTAACTTCAATAACAAAAATCATTAGAATTGTCCTTGGAAAATTAAACAGGAAATCTCAATATAATTGAGGTTACGGAAACAAGTTACAGCTTAACTTTATCTATGATCTAAAAATATCTTATGTTTTCTTGAAACTGGTTCTTGAAACAATAATTGATTTGCTAGTAGCCTAACTTAACCTTCCTAATTGCGTTAAAAACATTGACAAATTTTGTTGGTTTTTTATATGAATTGAAGTCAATAACTTGTTGCAATTATTTCAAATGGGAAATTATGAACAAATTAGAAATCGTTCACCTATTAAGTTTTCGCAGTTTTTTCCTTAAGTCAATGAACTTTCAGTACCAAATATTCTGTACCCAATTTTGCCGTTTCAAATCTAAAAAACTTAAGTTAGATGAAATCCAGGTTTTAAGAAATACAGTAATCTAATTGGATAATAAAACAAAATTAATAAACAATTTTAGTGATTGACCAATCAGATGGTAGCTGACCTAAAGACCCTGGTAACTCTGTATCCAATAGTAACAAAATTTGAGAATTTTTTCTTAAAAATAAAATGTACCATGTTTTCAAGAATCTTGAGCCAATTATTTCAAATAACTGTTAATATAACATCGTTTTGTTTTTTTTTCACAATGATCTATCAAACTAAATTGTTTGGCAATTTTCCATACAAAAATTAACGACAGGGCTTATTTGTAACGTCCAATTTGAAAATCATTTTCACTTAATTCATATTTTCATTTTCATAACAAAAACAAATTTGAATTGATCTCCGATAACTAAGTTGTTGAGAAAAACAGAGTAATTTTGTTTGTGCCTCACTTAAAAGACAACCAAACTTTAAAGAGATTGTAAAGAGTTTTTTCTAAATTTCTTATGTGTATCAGAAACACTGCTATCAATTTGCACCATTCCAATTTTCTGTGGTTCTTGCAATTCCACTAAAACTAAGCGTTTTAGAACCTTTGAGATAGCTCAGTCATAAAACACCTAGTTTTAGTGGAATTGCAGAAACCACAGACGTCTGATAGAAAATTGGAATATTACAAATAGTGCAAATTGATGCTATAAGTGTCACTTATAATCATGAAATTTAAGAAAACCTCTTAAAAATACTTTTAATAGAGTTTTATATCCTACTGTTCTGTATCTTATTGGACTAATGAAATAAAATAGAGTTTTATATCCTACTGTTTTGTATCTTATTGGACTAATGAAAACAAATTTAGGAACCAATCCATGTTTGGCTCTTTTTGGACAAAACATCTTAATTTTATAAAATTCATTTCAAAAGTGTACCCAATTCATACTAAAACTTCCGGGTTCAATCCTGGGAGAGATTAATTTTCTCCTGAAGAGGGAAAACCAGTAAATGATATCGAATTCCATATTGAAATTAAAATGATGGTAATTAACTCTCTAATAATGTGATATACGATATTCTGATAAAAGGCTTTATCGTAGCTTACATCCGATAGCCACAATTTCCATTAGTTCGGCCATGTTGTCCCTTGACAACAAGCACTTCAAGGTCATGATGTTTATGTTCAATTAGACTAAGCAGAAGTCACTTAAAGTGTAATCTATTGGTAGTTGAAAATACTAATTATGTCATGCAATTATGTATTTCATATCTTAATCTGTAATTGGTTGTTTGTAAGCTTAGTTTTCATTGGTAGTTTCTGGATAATCTGATTGACAAATTCTCGACCAATGGGGGATGGATTTGATTTGCTTCCAGTTTTCAAAATTTGGTTTTAAAACTATAATTCATGCGAGTATAAATGTGGATTTTGGATTTCTATGTTATTCAACAAAAATTATGAAGTTTTGAAGCGACTTCAGACACTCTTTGGCTTCAACCAGACACATCCCCCTCACCCCCACCCATTCAGTGGCCGTCTAAAGGACATTAACACTTTCTGTCATTACGTAAATTAGTTTTTAATGACCTATTTTTATTATTGAGCATCCAATCAGAATATTGATCTGAAATGGACGTCTGCTAGAAGTTCAGATCAATCAATCAGTAGCAATTAGAGAGATATTATTGGTCAATGACACCTGATTATACTCTTATAATTTTATTGACATCATTTCCAAGACAACCAAGTTTATAATACAACTTAGGTTCACGAGGATCCTGTCTGCCAGCTGATCCTTGGTCAAACCTTTTGGTAATAATTTTACAATGATAACTTAGGTTCACAAGGATCCTTTCTACCAGCTGGTTCTTGGTCAAACCTCTTGATAATGATTTTACAATGATAACTTAGGTTCACAAGGATCCTTTCTACCAGCTGATCTTTGGCCAAACCTCTTGATAATGATTTTACAATGATAACTTAGGTTCACAAGGATCCTTTCTACCAGCTGGTTCTTGGTCAAACCTCTTGATAATGATTTTACAATGATAACTTAGGTTCACAAGGATCCTTTCTACCAGCTGATCCTTGGTCAAAACTCTTGATAATGATTTTACAAGGATATCAAATAAGGTTGACAAGGATCCTTTCTACCAGCTGATCCTTGACCAAACCTCTTGGTATCAATTTTCAGATTATCTATACTTGATGTCCTGTACAGGATATTTACTGTTGATCATTTAAGCTGTCCTGCCAGTCATGTCCGGCAAATAGAGACAAATCAACAGCAGTGTACTGGTCGAATTAGTCCTGAAGAATGGAGAAAAGTAGGAAATAAACCTACATTTCATTTTAATTTCCAATTAGCTACAAAAGAATCTGTCTGTTGAAAAAATTCAGGTTTGTTATTTGATGCCTTCTGGCAAAATAATAAAATGATAGACATGCTTTAAGAGAAAAGTGCAGTTCACCATGTCTCCTTGCTTCTGGCAAGATCAATCATATATAGAGCAAACACATGTTTATACAACAGACACAAACATTTAGAATTGACACAGAAAACAACTTAGGTTCATGAGGATCCTGTCTACCAGATGGTTTCACAATGATAACAACTTGGGTTCATGAGGCTCCTGTCTACCAGATAATTTCACAATGATAACAACTTGGGTTCACGAGGATCCTGTCTACCAGATGGTTTCACAATGATAACAACTTGGGTTCATGAGGCTCCTGTCTACCAGATGATTTCACAAGGATAACAACTTGGGTTAATGAGGCTCCTGTCTACCAGATAATTTCACAATGATAACAACTTGGGTTCACGAGGATCCTGTCTACCAGATGATTTCACAATGATAACAACTTGGGTTCATGAGGCTCCTGTCTACCAGATGATTTCACAATTGGTAACAACTTGGGTTCATGAGGATCCTGTCTACCAGATGGTTTCACAATGATAACAACTTGGGTTCATGAGGCTCCTGTCTACCAGATGATTTCACAAGGATAACAACTTGGGTTCATGAGGCTCCTGTCTACCAGATAATTTCACAATGATAACAACTTGGGTTCACGAGGATCCTGTCTACCAGATAATTTCACAATGATAACAACTTGGGTTCACGAGGATCCTGTCTACCAGATGATTTCACAATGATAACAACTTGGGTTCATGAGGCTCCTGTCTACCAGATGATTTCACAATTGGTAACAACTTGGGTTCACGAGGATCCTGTCTACCAGATGATTTCACAATGATAACAACTTGGGTTCATGAGGATCCTGTCTACCAGATGATTTCACAATGATAACAACTTGGGTTCATGAGGCTCCTGTCTACAAGATGATTTCACAATTGGTAACAACTTGGGTTCACGAGGATCCTGTCTACCAGATGATTTCACAATGATAACAACTTGGGTTCATGAGGATCCTGTCTACCAGATGATTTCACAATGATAACAACTTGGGTTCATGAGGATCCTGTGTACCAGATGATTTCACAATGATAACAACTTGGGTTCATGAGGATCCTGTATACCAGATTATTTCACAATGATAACAACTTGGGTTGACGAGGATCCTGTCTACCAGATGATTTCACAATGATAACAACTTAGGTTCATGAGGATACTGTCTACCAGCTGGTACATGGTCAATCCTCTTGGTAATGATTTTACAAGAATAATAACTTAGGTTCACGAGGATACCAGTTGATTCTTGGTAAAAATAACATCTTCCCATTGGACAATTTGAAAATTTTTTCAAAGATTAACACTTTAGGCTCACGAGGGTCTTGTCTACCAGCTGGTCCTTGATAAAATGTCTTAGCTATGAACCCAAGGATTTTGTCTACTAGCTGGTCCATGGTCAAACCTCTTGGAAAATATTTCACAAGGAAAACAACTTAGGTTTCCTACCCAGTTATGGCTGGGTCGACTTGAATAATGAGGAACAATGACTTAATCAAGGTCACCAGACTTTCACACGCCAACTAAGATTAGAAACCACAACCACCATTTATTCGGCGAAAACCAAGCAAATGATGTCACGTTAAGTTTCCAAAGCTCTAGCCAACTGTGTTACAGAAATCCGTCTAACTAAATCCTTATAATTTATTATTTATATATTGTCTGGTTTCAGATTATGATTTTTGACAGGTGATTTAGACTAAGACAATATATACATGGAAATGTAAACAATATTCAAGCGGAAGAGACATTGAGTTTATTAAGCTAATGAATATTCATGATATCTCCGACGAATAATTAAGTCTAAGGATATGATTGTATCATTTCTATATCGTGTTAAAGGGAAACAGTTGGTATTTTCGGGGATTTATTTGGGTCTTTATTGTGCTTTAATAGTCTTAAGAAGTACTAAAACACAGGAAAAATCGCATAATCCCTTCAAATATACCTCAAACTAGAAATTTCACTGTCTATTTCTATATATGGCATAGTCTCACTAAAATTCGAGTCAAATTTTTAACTTTCAAACATGAATAATTATGGATATACATAGATTTGAAGGATCAAATTTCAACACTATTACTGATTATGTAAGCTAAAAACTTCCTGTTTCTGAAACTAAGGCATGATTGGTCGAATGGATAGTGAAGGTGTTCCTTTAATTAAACTATAAAAAATAGGGATTTTGTGAATTTGTTTTTTTTTTTTTCATGCTATCTAAACTTGAGCTATTTTACTATATATAGTTATCAATAATTGAGCTCAATTAGCAGGTAAATCAAATATTTAGACAACAAAAGCCTTTAATCCAGTCTTTAACATGAGCAGTAAGCTTTTAAGCTCTTAATATTTCAGCTAATGAGACACTATATCAATCTTCAGAAAGATTTTTAATGTCTATAGTTTATGTCAAACGTCTCATTCCTCTGTTATAAACGTTAACTCAAGATCGTTTGTGATTTTGAAGACAATCTAGTCAATGGTTTCTTGAAT